CCTTGTCTCAAAAAAAAAAAAAAAAATAGACAGCAATAAAGACACTGTTGACTATGGGCAAATCCTACCCCCAACACACGTGTACACACACACACAGACACACACACACACACACACACACACACACACACACACACACACACGCTATAAAGGAGAATGTCTGTTTCTTAGGGACTTGTTCTTTCTTTGATGGTAAAGACATGTAAACAGGCTGGAGAGATGGCTCAGTGGTTAAAAGCACTTGCTGCTCTCCCAGAGGCCCTGAGTTCAGTTCCGAGCACCCACACAGCAGCTCACAACCTTCTGTAACTCCACCTCCATCGGATCCGACGCCTTCTCCGGAATCCCTCAGGGAACCAGGCACACCTGTGCTGCACATACATGCATCCAGGCAAAACACCCATACACATAAAATGATTTTTCAAAATATGTAAACAGGGCTGGTGAGAGCGTGCCATCTGTAAGGTGCCCAGCTGCACAAACTCACGGGGATGTGAGTTTGGTTCCCCAGTACAGACACAAAAGATGGCCATAGCAGCGTGTGTGTGTGTGTGTGTGTGTGTGTGTATGCAGTCTGAACACGTGTGGAAACAGGAGCCGGTAGATCTCCAGAACTTATTGGCTAGCCATCATGGCTGAATCAGCGAGCTCCAGGGTCAGGCTATTGTTTATCAACAAAACAAACAGCAATAAATAAACAAAATTAAAGTAGACAGTGATCAAGGAAGACACCCAACATTGACTTCTGGCCTTCACCTGCATGTGCACACACAACTATGTCAACGAATTTTAAGTCAGTTTCAAATTTACTGAGATGGTTTTATCTTGTGTATCCAACGATAGTGTGTTCCTTGAGGAAGACTAAGTGCATGAAAGATTGTGCATTAAAGATTACTACAGCAATGTCTGCCAAGACAACAGAAGTACACGCTACCTTAACACTTCTTATTGACAGTCCCGTGGTACAACACAATGAGTGCGGAAGTTAGATTTTGAAGAACTTAGGTCTGAAAGACAGTTACCACCTCAGTGACACTAGCAAAGTTCTTAACCTTTGAGCTTCCACCACCTGAATTGTAATTTGGAAACTGGGTTGGGGAGGGGAGTTAAGGAGATAGCACGTGTGAGCACCTGAGTACCAGGAAGAGGGCCAGGAACTCCACTAAGGCCACCTCTTCTTCAGGAACACCACCCGGCTTGGCTACGGCACCAAGTTCAACGGTGCATGCCCGCCAAGGTCACTGACCTCCAAAGCAGCATATCACACTCGAGTTTTGAAACTGTTCCTAAAACTCCCCTGTTTTTTTCCCCACGAGAACTTTAAAGGTTAAGATCATCCGAGTCATGGAGGATTCTCCATCGTCCCGTGTCACACGCAGAAAGAGATTCCTGCCTGCCCAGAACCCCATCCAGGCAGCGAAGCCGGTGCAGGCTCAAACTCTTGACAAAAATTCCTTCTCCTCTCCGCTGACCAAAGTCTAATTTTAACAAGGAAAGACACCTCCCATCAACTGAGTGAACTTGGCCTTTCCATCTTAAATCATGTGCATGCTGTTACGAAAAGGCCTTCAGCAGGAGTACGGCAAAATTCCAGACTTGGGTGTGGGCGGTGCCTGCCCAGTCACTTTCTGTAACTAAACACACTGTACTGTAAATTTAGTAATCTCTGGACCCAGCACATCCCATAGCAACCCCCAGTCTATGGCCATGACCAGATATTTCACTGTTCAAACAATCCTACATCTCCATGAGCCTTACAAGGAGTGAGACCTACACTCGGAGGCCAGGATCCCTGCTTACTTGGCGAATGGTAAAGGTTGACTATATTTTACCTGCTAGTTCTCCTGTTTCAAAAAAGGAAAATTATGATCATTTAGTTACATCATAAAGCGGTTCTGAGACTAAACAATATATGCAAAACACCCTGACACGTGGTCTCTGTTACATAACAAGTAGTGATAATTACACACGCTCCTGTAATATTTACAATATTCATTCATGCTAAGTGGTTTATTGCTTTAATGTTCACAAATGAAGTAGGCATTTCCATGATTTCCATTTTATGGATGGGAATCTGACAGATGTTAACGGTGAATTAACCGTGAAAACAAAATTATCAATTTGACTTAGAACACCAACAAAGCTCACCGCCAGCCACAGAGATGCAGATAGAGGTACTGTCATCTGTGATTATGCCAGAGTCTTTGCTATACTGGATTCGAGTCTCTTCCTTTTTCTCCCGTGAAGCCACGAGGAACCTTTTCCTACAGTTACCTGTCAGGTCCCTTCACCTTGCTGTATCATAATCTGTCTGATCTTTTATTAGTCAAAAGCAACCAGTATTGTTGGCACAAGGACTTCAAGTAAAAATTCAAGGACCCAGCTAGCTTTGCAAACGATTCACACACAATAACACACTATCATTTGTTCTTTCTCTACAACTTACAACAATAAAACGTAACAACCAGAAATTGTGCCTTGTTCCCCCTAGAATGAAGGATGAGAAACAGTCCTCTGGTCTTGATTTTTAATGTAAGAATTACAATTCCTTTAAATTTGGAGACTAATGAGCTCAGTCCCCCACACTGGATCTTATATATTTAAAAACATTTTGGACCAGACACCAATCTGTAAATCCAAGCTAGTTGGGAGACTATGACAGGATGATCTAGGTTCAAGGCCAGCCCTGGAAACTTTGTAAAACCTTGTCTAAAAAAAAAAAAAAAAAAAAAAAAAATTGGCGGGATTGTATCTCCGTCTAGACTACTTAGTACTCACAAGGTCCTGGATTCAATCCCAGCACTATGAGCAACACAAAACAAAAAAGCGTGTGTTTGGAGAAGAGGTCCAGATATGTCACAGGACGGTAGAAAGGCCTGCCACACAAAAACAGGAACCCTAGGAAGTGAGCACAGAGGATGCTTGGAGATACTCAGTTAACAGAATCCAAAAGGTAGCAAGCAAATGCCAATCAGGCAGTGACGGAGCCTGAGGAGACCTCTGAAGGTCTGCAGATGGAGGGAAGGGAGGGGAGACTGCTCAAGTGGAAGTCTGTGCTCCTGAAAGACTTACAGCAAGAACGATTTCACTTCAAGTTCCAGAAAAGTCCTGAATGTGGCCTGAAAACACAAGGAATCCCCCCCACCCCCCCCTACCCACACACCTTTGACACCCCCCTCCCCCTCCCCCACAGTCCCCAGCAAGGATGCTGTTACACCTATTTCATAAGAGGAAGTAACTGAAACGAGACAGTAAGGTAACTAGTGAAGAGCACCGTTGGGTACTGCCATGGGAGTCACACAGTCCAGGCTTCATTTCTGCCGTCCCCGCGCTATGCCTCTTCTCCCTTAGAGGGCTCCCTCTCTCCATTTCATTTGGTTCATCTAATTTGTAACAGAAAAAAATTAAAGACTTGAGCTCTCCCTAGCTATTTATTGACAGGGTTGTGCCTGGACCTAGTATCTCATTTTCTGCTCTCCCCCTACTTTATACCAACACTTATGCTATCTTTTGATAAAGATACAATTTGCCTCAAGTCCACGATTGTGCAATTTCACCAGGACAGGTCCTCTGGTCAGTACTGACCTGAGAGTGGTCTTTAGCATATTCCATATCAAGCAAATTTTTGAAAACAAAATTGGGAATTGCTGACAATTTATATTAAAAAAAAAAAAAAGAACCTTTGGATAAAATCTGTTAATGAATATCTACTGCTACCCCAAATGCACCTCATTCCTTCTTCCTTCTTCCTTCATCCAACTGTTCCTTTCTTCCTTTATCCAGTACTGAGGTGTGCACCAAACACATTAAAAGATAACTAAACAAACATCGCAAAGACTCATGGGATGTATACTTCTACGGAAACCTGTCTATAAAAAGAATACACGGAACAAAAAGCTGAGAAGCAGTGATGGAATTTTCAGTAACAACTACGAGAAAATGGGATCCCAAATATCATTTGTACGCAGTTTTGAGATTGTGTGATTCTTTCTTTTGAAATCACCATTTAACTTTTTTTCTTGAAGAATCTGGGTACAAGTAGGTTGCACCTTGTGGTTGTCCTTTTTGGGATTCTTGGTTTTTACGTACGTAGAGATTTCGCATATATTAGTAAAGTCAATACCTAAACTATTTTCGCTGTCCAAGTTAAAAAATTACTACATCCAGTATGAATTTTTTTTTTTTCTGTATTGAAATGCGCCTTTTAAAGAAAACATGGATGTGGTATGCAGCCCAAACAAAACATGATAACTTTTGAGTTATCGTGTAAACAAAAACATTTCAACGTCCTGGCTTCCAGGGGCAGAGGCTTCCAGAGCACTCCTCTCTCCCCAGCTCGAACCCAGATGGTGACTTTTAGGACCTGTTGCAGAACTTCAGAACCAAGCAATGCTGCATTCCTGTTTGTACCTGAAAGGTAGAAAGTGCCGGGGGAAGCTAGGATGGACTGTTCAACTTGAATTTCGCTCCGGTTTCACTAAGGTTTCTTCTACATTTAAGATTCTGTGCCTGGTGGGCAGAGACCACCGAACAAAGGCGATGATGGCCAGGAGCTACAGGGGAAGAACTGGGGCTCGGCGGGCTGTGGAGACGCTCACCACCCCAGGGCGCCTACCCAGTCCCCAAGAAGGTCGGCTGGGCTGGGCATGCACATGTACTTGGGGTACTGGAGCCCCGAAGCCTCTAACCTCCTCCTACTCGAAGGCGATGGAGAATCGGCCCCGGGAGAGAGTCTGCGGCTACAAAAAGAGGGGCTGGCGGCCACGAGAAACTCCCAGCTCTCCTTTTCCCCAAAGAACAGAATTGGAAATTAAAGGTCCCGGGGGTGGGGGGTGGGGGTGGATGATGGTTTAACTGCCCCAAGGACACGCGGTCCCGGGGGGTAGGAATGGCCTAGGGGCAAACAGCAGGTGTGCTAGAGGACCCCGCACCGGGGCAGAAGGGGGAGGACAGGTGGAGAGGACGGAGACCCGCGGGCCCGCGGGCTGCCTGGGACTCACCCGAGCGGGAAGCGGGAGCACGCGGCGGCGGGCGGAGCTGGCGAGGCACGAACCCGGGAGCGCGAAGGCGGCGGGGGCGCGCGCGGGCCCGCCTTTAAAGCCCGCGGTGGGCGTGGCCTGTGGGCACGCCCCCTGCCCGGCGGACGGCGCAGCCTGCGGGTTCCCTGGCCGCGAGACAAAAGACCGGAATCCCGCCTCTGCCGTAGGCTTCCCGCGCGCCGGCCTCTCTTCCCCCCAGCACCCAGCTGCCCCTCGCGGCGGGCCCGGTGCTGCCCGGGGCCCGGAGCCGCCGAGATCGGCTGTCCCGCCACCCCGGCGAAGCAGGGCTCCCCGGTGCGGGACAGTCTCCGGCCCGCGTGGAGCCCACAGCTTTCCCGTCTTGAAAGAGCGGCGTTCCCCATCTAGACTAAACAGATGACGTTATGAAAACACCTCATTCCCCAAGTGTTTTGCTTTCCCCACCACTCGTTGCTGAGGGGGAAGAAACCCACAACCCACGCAGAAACCCTGGCGCCAAAAGGCTTCGGGTTTCGGTTTGCCATTGTCAGAAAAGCCCAGGGAGGCCTCTGCGAGCGATGACAGCAGAAAGGACCCAAATTCTGGGCTCGCGGATGACATATTGTTTCAGACAGAAAGGGAAATGGTGTCATCGCTATCTGGTTTGTACTCTAGGCCACCTGGTGATCCACTCCCCTGTCGTTAGTAGTGGACTGGCCTATGAATTACTAGTTGAAGAGTGGTGACCCCCTAAAAGGCAGCAACCAAAAAACGAATCAATCTTTCCTTCCATCCAAGCCCAACATCAAGTTATTAACAGGCTAGTTGATTCTTCGGTGGGAATTAGGAGGAAATTGCGGGGTGCCTTTGCATGCTAAATACCAGAACCCTCGCTTTGCTACAATAAATAATAATAATAACTATGTCCCGCTTCCATTGCCGAAGGCCCTTTTGTAGGGGGGGGGGGGGCAGAATCGAGGGACGCCCCTCTGGGGTGTGTATCTGACAGTTTTATCCTGTGTACTAGCTGGACTCAATCCAGAACTGAATTCTAATTGCAGCCAGATTCTCTGTCTACCAAGTACTGTACGAAGGCCCTGCAAGCAGTGACTGACATCTCCCAAGATGGCGTTAGGACCTTCAAAGTGTAGGTGCCTGCTGTGAGCTTTTCTAAACACAGGCAATTCTTACGTTCATGATTCCAGTCGGTCAGCTTTACCTCCCAGGCTTACTGCACTTCTTACCTGAGTGGGTAGCTTGCCTTTTGTTTTCACTGAAAACTTGTTTTTCAGCAAATGATTGCCCTTTCTCTGCTACTTCCGAGATCCCTAGAGGCTCTTTGTGGAATGGGCCTCAGACCTGACCTGTTGCCTTTCTGTCAAAATGTTTCTATATTCTAAGGTCAAAACAAACCTATCAAGCAAAGCTATTTATGAAAGTTGAGGTGGGTTTGAATGAAAATGGTTCCCATAGGCTCATAGGAAGTAGCGCTATTTGGAGGTGTGGCCTCTTTAAATTGGGTGTGACCTTGTTAGAATAAGTGCATCCCTGGGGGTGGGCTTTGAGGTTTCAGGCGCTCAAGCCAGGCCCCCCGTGTGTCTCTTCCTACCCATCTAAATGTAGAACTCTCAGCTACCTCTCCAGCACCACGCCCGCCTGCATGCTGCCATGCTTCCCACTGAGGTGACACTGGACTAAAGTTCTGAACTGAAAGCCAGCTCCAATTAATTCTTTTCCTCTCTAAGAGTTGTGGCGTCTCTTCACAGCAATAGAAACCCTAAGATAAACATATTTCTGCTCTCTGTTCTCTGTCTATATTTCACAGTGAATCTGGGAATGGTGTACACTGATTTTTTTAAAGTGTATTTGTATTTATCAATATTTTAATATATTGTTTACTTTTTAAATTGTTTAAGCTTGAATTTCAGTTCTGAACATGAATAAGTTATTTTTAGCTTTTGAACTATAAATGATGGTAAGAAAAAGTGTGGCTTTTGAGTGGAACGTGTGGTTTCGATATTCAGCTCTGCCGTGTGCCAGCTTGGTTCTGAAATAGCCTCAAAGGCGGTGGTTCTCACCCTCTCTAATGCTGTGACCCTTTAATACAGTTCCTCTTGCAGTGACCCCCCAACCATAAATTTATTTCATTGCTACTTCATAACTGTAATTCTGCTACTGTTGTTAATCGTAATGTAAATATCTGATGTGCAGGATATCTGATATTCGATCCCTGTGAAAGAGTCATTCTACCCTCAAAGGGGACACAACTCACAGGTTGAGAGCTGCTGCTCTAGGGCCTGAATTAAAGTAAAGGCTTTGTGCCCAAGCTGCAGTGCTATTGGGACAAGGTGGAACTTACAAGACGTGGGGCCTACGGAAGGTCTAGGGTGGGTAGGAGTGTGCCCTCAAAGGGGATCCCAGATCCTGATCTCTTCCTCCCCATTTGTTTCCCAAGATGCTCTGAGAGCATGGCGTGCCCTTTCCTTCATGCTCTAGGCTTTGGTGTGCTGTGTTCTTTACCATAGCCAACACAAACCTTTGCTGTAAGATGCTGGGAATCCCATCCATCCAGGGTCTTTCACATGCTAAGTGCGCGCTAGGCCACCAAGCTACGCGAGCAAAACACTCCTCTTTATAAGCTGATTATGTCAAGCATTCACTGTGAGGGAAGCCAACAGTATTTAACCTATTTGCTCCTGTTTCTTACCTGTTGTCTTAGTAACTGTTGCCCTTGTTGTGAAGAGACTACACGACCAAAGCAACTCTTATTTTCAAAAGAGCATCTAATTTGGGGCTTACTTACAGTTTCAGAGGCTCAGTCCATTATCATCATGGCAGGGAGCATGGTGGCAGGCAGTCATGGTGAGGGAGAAGCAGTTGAGAGATACAGCTGATCCGCAAGCACAAAGAGAGGACACTAGGCCTGGCTTGCGACTCTACAACTCCAAAGCCCAACCCCAGTGACAAACTTTTTCCAACAAGGCCACACCTCCTAATCCTTCTCAAACAGTGCCTCTTCCTGATGACTAAACAGTCACACACATGAGCTTGTGGGGGCTGTTCTCATTCAAATCACCATATCTGTAAAATAATACTGTGCAGCTTGTAGGAGAACAAACCACTTGCTGTATGTAAAATACCAAGCAAAGCACCTGGATCACGGTAAACACTTGCTAAATGATTGTTATATTTGGAATAGATATTATAAAATCCTTTTTTTTTCTTTTTGCTAACAAGTTATGATGCCTTGTTAAAGGTTTTTTAGTAGAAATGTATTGAGTGTTCTCTGAAATAACTAGGAGAATTTAACAGAAAGAAATTTGTGTGCCTGGAGAAGGGCTGGTTGAAAAAATTTGCCTTTGTGGACAAGAGTAAGTCCTACTTACTGCCACATAGTTATTCTCTATTTGATCCCTTCAACCTTAAAGGCAAAATGGAAGGTTAAAAAACACCCAAAAAGAGGTTTCATTTTTCCCACTCAAAACACATGGTACCCTTGTAACAGATCCTTCAATATCTGGAAGCAATTTTCAGTCAAAATTCTCTGTCAAGGTCAGGGTTCTGAGGCAGCTTGAACCAAGGTTATGTTTCTTTATAACTTGTACTTGAACCTTAGATTTTTTCAAATAGTTCCATTGTTTCCATTTCTTATCACTTTTCCTCAAACAAACAAACAAAAAACCTGTCAGTCAGATGGCTTTCGATAGAAACCCAAAGCCTATTTATTTTAAGGCCAAGTGCTCTTTTCTAGAAGCCAGTGAGCCTAGATGGAGAGGAAATTTTTTTTTTTTTTTTTTTTTTTTATTGCATACTAACCAAAGGGGAACTTTCTCAGTTTGCTAACGGACAACACAGAAAACAAAACAAAAAACTGCTGCTCATTACTTAGTCACGGCTTAGTAGCAATGGTGGGGATGTTAACAGTTCACACACAACAGTGACCCTCTCTGGAGCATTTTCTGATGAAGAAAGCAAGTTTTCTATGTTTAAATCCTGGGAGCGAAGAACAGCCGAGGTACTGGTCATGGTTGTGTGTTTTTAAATCCGCCACAGACTCCTGTTCACTCATATGTTATTCTTTCTCCAACCCCCTCTCATCAATGGGCACAAATTTCCTCTCATATTGTTATCTTTTCTTACCACCATATTTATGTCTTTTTTATACAAGATTCCCTAGATTTTCTAGCTCTGCGCATACGTACATCTTTTGCTATAATTGAGTTTTTCTAGCTCAACATGCGTGGGAAAGTAACTCATTTCATCTGTGCCCTCCGATGATGGGTCACTTATCTCTTTTTTTCTTCAGTTAGCAGCATCTGCTTCTTCGTTTACATCCACAGTCACCAGACAACTTTACCTCAGCCTTCATCCTCTGCCTGTGTTTTCTCTGGAGCTGGCAGTTGCCGTCCTTGGTCTTGGGAGGATGTGTGGCTCTTTTGCTTCACAAACACTCCTTTGACTGCTTCAGTGTTTGTTGTCGGTTATTGTCTGAGTTGGTTTGCTTTTGAGTCACATCTGGTTGTAGTGTACAGACTGGTGGCAAGTCCCTGGGCTTAAGTGGTCCCCCTGCCTCAGTCTCACAAATGCTGGCATTAGTGTCTAGTAGCATCATGCCTCCCTTATTTTGTATTCGTTAATCCTAGGCCCTTGCTTTTCAACTTCTGGGGCTTCTTTTTGAATGCTCTCTATTTTATAATCTAAAAGGCCAACAAGAAGGTCCTCAAACCTTATATTAGGTATTTGGGGTCTCTTCTCGGTATCTATGCCCACCCGCTCCCAACCCAGTAGGGGTCTACATGGTTTCAGGGAAGTGATCCACAGACCTCACTTAGGGTATCACAGCCACTGGTTTAGATGAGAATGGAGAGTAGACTGAATGTCAGCGCTTCCTGGAAAGTGTTGGGTGCATACAGAAAGCCAACAGGTGTTAGGGACTCCTAGGGAGCTGTAACAATCGAAATCTGGCCCAAGAATGAGTCTACCCCAGAGACAGAGAAACAGAGCTGAGAACAACTCCTCACACAGTTTACCTACTTGCAAGGTCTCTTCATTAGGGCTGTCAACGAGGTCCCATCATTTAGTCCATTCTGT